ACTGACTATAAAAAAGAAAAAACTTAAAACAAATAGTTAAAGGTAGACACAATAATTTATCTAATACAAATTCTTCTTTTTTTTAATTTGGCCATTTTTAGCAATAAAATCTGAATTTATGTGATCATAATAAAAAAGTACATAACACACGCCATCAAGATACAAAAATTTAATTTATACAAATTCTTCTTTTTTTTAAATTGGACCATTTTTTTGCAATAAAATCTAAATTTATGTTATCCAATATGTCTTTTTCGGTAGAAAGTAATAGTAAATCGCTTAAACGGGAGTCACTCTGAGTTGTCCTTAAGTAATTTTTCACCAACTTTAACTTGCTAAACGAACGCTCATTTCCAGCTACAGTTACTGGGGCTGTACACAATAAACGAGACATTCTATTAGCTATGGGAAGCATTTTTTTAGTTCTGAAAGTCCAACTACATCTGAAACAGTTTTTACTTCTTTGCATTGGTCGTAAAGTATTTCTAATTCAATCTGTAAATTTAGAGAATCTACAACAAGTTGTTTGGGTAAAAAATTCACTGCATCTTGAATTTTACTTTCGATTAAGTTGTTCCTTAATAAAGGGGGGTTGAATAGATTAAATAATGGTTTAATTGTACTAATGCAATTTTCCAAATGATTTTTCATCAGTGATATGAGCTCGTCCAAAACAGATTTATATTCTTTTCTATAAAACATTTTAAATGACATATTAGCTGCATTATCTCTATTATTGTCAAAGCGCTTAGGTACAAGTCGACGTCTATGACGAACTAGAAATTCTTTTTCAGCATCCACATCAAACGACTTCAAAAACGCTATTGAACTATCTATAAGGTTGTCCATGCCATCTACATCAGAATTAATAATGTTTAATGATTCTAGAGTACTTGACATGAATATGATTGCATCAGCTATGTTAAGTTCAGTTGATTCGAGGCACTCAGTTAACAACTTCATCTTATACATAACATTTTTCATAAAAATAATACTTAAAACAGAAATTAAACGTTTTGATAAAGAATATGCTGCATTTCTAGTAGATTTATCGAATTTGTCTTTTGTATTTGTTATCTCATCTAAAACTTCAATAATTATATGAAACGATGACCAAACAGATTTAATTGCCTCAGCACGTGCTGTCCATCTCGTTTTGGATAAATTTCTGAGTTTTAAAGCAGTTTCAATATCAGCTAGTTTTTTCAGTAATGGAGAATATCGCTTTGTACTCGAAGAAAAAAATACATAAATTTCTTGCATTACTGAAAACATATCAGATATAATAAGACTAGCTTCACAACCATGTTCAATAAATGTGTTGACTCTATGAGCTTGACATGGAATATAAGGTATTTTTATACCTAATATTTCAGTTAATTTTTTTTGTGCACCATTAAATACTCCAGACATACTGCTGGCAAAATCATACGACTGAAAAACAAGATTATCAGGATCTAACTCATTTTTTTGTAATGTGTCAAATATGTCGTTTGCCATTCCTACATCAGTCTTATTTAAAGCTTCGCGGACTTCTATTAATCTTTCTTCTGCTGTACCTTCATTATTGACGAACCTTACAACTACTGATAGCCTATCTGTATGGGACAAGTCAGGCGTAGTATCAGCCATTACAGAAAACTGTCCGGATTCCCTAACTTTTTCTATTATAGTTTTGTTCACTGATGACGCAAGGATGGTTATAAACTCGTTTTGAGATTGAGGACTCAAATATGTAGAATGGTATAGCCGATAGCAAGAATCATTGAGCCATTTCTTTAACAATGGGCAGTGCCTAGAAAGTAAATACGTAATTTGTCTGAAGTTACCATTTTCATCATCATCTTTTCCTCTGAACGCTAAACCTTGTCTAGCGAGGGTTTTGGTTACATCCAGTAAGATACAAATTACTTCTTTGTGAAAATTTTGATTGCTCTCTTCCAGAATTTTTCGCTCACGAACTGTTTTGTCAAGAATAACATCAATGTTATTCGATTTTTTCATGTAGTTGCAATAATCAGCCAATGCAGATTTATGCGCTTCAGAAGTGAAATGTTTCTGTAATTTTCCCATTTTATTCACACCACTGGAGCCTTTCATTTTTTTCCATCCAGTTACGCCGATTTCGTTCCAATATCCCTTACTTTTTTGACGACCAGCTACATCAGAAAATAAACTGCAAACAAAACAATAAGCTGCATCTTTCGCTGTACTNCAAACAAAACAGTAAGCTGCATCTTTCGCTGTATTATATTCCAAGTGTGGGTATTCAGTATACCAAGATGGATTAAAACGATGTGCTTCTCGCTTTGGGTAAATGTTTAGTTTTGGTTGATGTGGGCCTAACATGATTAGGTATTTTCTTTGATTATCTGAAGTTATTTTAGTTCTGAGTCCTGGATCATGATGTACTTTACTACTCACAAGATCTTTTTCAGTAAAATTTTCTGAAGCTGTATCTATCTGTGTCATTAACACATTACATCTGTTCATTATTAAAGAGGAAGTTTTAAGGATGTGTGTTATAGCATCTTTAACTTCAATTACAAACTTGTAACTATTTGTAACTTCATCTTCGTGAAGTTTTTGAATGATTGGTTTACACATATCTATATAATCAATTAAATTTTTAAACTGTCCAGCACAACCAAAAACGTTTTCTGATAAATCTGAATATTTTAAAAATGTTTCTGAACTTTGGTCAGTACAATCACAATTATCAAGTTCATTAATGACTTTTAATTCACTCTCAATATCTTCGCTCTCTTTTTATGTTTCATTGGTTTCCATAAATTCAATTTCAGAAACTTGTGCAGTGTCACCAGCCTTAATAACAGATATTGGTGACTGGACATCGGAGATTGGACTTAATTTTGAGTTCACCTAACAAAATTGTTCATCAGTTAGCTATTTTACAAAATAAACTATATTTTCTTTTTAAATGGTTAATGATATTTTAGATTCAATGGAAAATTGGAACAAGTTTTAGAGTTAAGCTTAGATTTTAATAACTAAGGTAGTGAAACTCATAAAATTGGGTGTGTTATTGTATAAAATTATTGATTGCTATTAATAACAAACATAACAATTTATAATATTTGATCTAATATTTTTCTAAACTCTAAAAAGTATGAGTTAAGAAATAACTGTATTTTAATTATGATTTAATATACAAACATTTTCCAATAAACTTGATGAAGCCACTTTAAAATTCTTATTAGAAGCTTTGAGTGCAGCTTCAAATGGGTTCTTAAGAGCCCCTGGTTCCTTTACTCTAATTCGTTTTCCATTATGACAAGCCGTTTCATGTCTGGTATNGTGGGCGTGGCATGAGGGGGCGTGGTCTTTCGATGGTGGGGGTAATGTCGAGGTCACACAGAGGGCGTGGTCTTATCATAGATAGGGTAAGGAGGAGGCGTGGTCTTATCATTGTTGGGATATGGGGAGGCGTGGTCTTATCATTGTAAGGGTAGTGGGGGCGTGGTCTTATCATAGATGAGGAAAGGGGAGGTATGGTCTTATAATGGCGGTGATAAGGAGGGGGCGTGATACCACGATGGTGGAGGTAATAGGTGACTTAGGTAGGGATGTTAAGATCAATCAAAATGGCGGTTTAAAGTACGATGCCATCTACTGGAAGGATAAGGTAAACTTCATAAGGTTAGATTTAACATATTTACTTAAAATTAACGCTACGTCTCCGTCAACAATTCCTATACAGGAAACATAACATAAACTAACCTATAAGGGGTATGGANACTTATGGCTCATTTCACAAATATTTTAATAATTATTGAAATTTAAAAAATTAAACTCATAAGTTGTATATGTGTAATATACATTCAATATTATTCATAAAAAATTTTCGTAAATTTAGTTAACTAAATGAAAACGCTTACTTGTTAAATTCACGTCGTTTAATTAGGTAGTAACGATTAAGTGTTGACGATGTCGCTAGTTTCAGAGCACGGTAAAAGAGAAATAAAATAATTAAAAACACAGTTGTCAATTGATAAAATGAAAACTAATTCCAAAAATGCTGGGAGTGACCAGTGGGTAAATGGGTGGTTGGTGTAATAATTTACTTACATGTACTATCTTATCAGCTGACAAACGGTGTAAAAAACCAATAATACGTATATAAAATTGAGTAAAGATAACGATTCAAAAGAGTCGTAAGCGTATTAGTAGACGCAAACATTGGTTTTACCATTAGATGACAACAGAATATAAAATATAAAAAAATATTCTTTTATTTAATGTTTTTTTTGCTTATCCGTATGTGTATATATATATATATACATATTATGTCTATGTCTATCGTCTATGGACAAGTAAAAACGTAAAATTGAATGATAAAAACAATTTTTCTCTATTCGATTTCTTTACTTTGATTTAGCCGACTATAGAATTGAAAAAGTCCAAATGGCCGCCTGGAGTAGGTTTAAGGGGGCAAGATGCCCCCCCTGTAGTTTCGCCCCTGCAAACGCGGGTTGGAACCTCGTACCCCAAGCGTGTAAAACATAAGTTTTACCAACTCAGCAACTGTATGTTGCTAGAGTCGGATGAAAAAATTGGCTATTTAAGCTAATTCAAATTTCAAAGTTATTTTTCTCGACTTAAAAGAAACAAACATATTTAAATAAGTTTAACTATCTATACTATATCAATTTTAATTTATATAATATTTATGAAAATCTGTACTCCCCTTGTCAGGTATTTTAAAATAAAATAAAATACAAAACCCAGAATTTTAACACAAAAATAGCAAATTTTTGAATACGGTAGTCATTTTTACCATGAAGACAAATCCAGAGATTAAATTTTTTTTTTTTCACATTAAAGTATATTACATAAGCTTTAATTTAAGATATATATAAAAGTGTCAGTATTTCCGGAATACTTTCAAAAATTAAATTGAAAATATCTTAGTAACAATACGCATGTTTAAAGTTTGACCCCCCTTGTTAAAGGGGTATGATCCGATATACAAAAAAAGCGTGCCAGATGAAAGGAGTATATAAATATTTTTTATAAAAAAATAATAATATTGATCCATGCATTTTTCCAAAAGTTATATAAAATATAAATTAAATAAAATAACATATGAAATCGAGAATTTTTTAACGGAAATCGTACGTTTTTCTTTAACTTTGATGTCCGTTTTCACCACGAAGACAAGTCCAGAGGTCAAATTTTTTTTTTTCAAATTAAAGTATATTACATAAGCTTTAATTTAAGATATATATAAAAGTGTCAGTCTTTCCGGAACATTTTCAAAAGTTAAGTTGAAAAAGTTCTACTTTCTATACGCATTTTAAAAGGTTTGCACCCCCCCTGTATAAAGGGAAATGGTCCGATTTTAAAAAAAAGTATGTCGAATGAAAGAAGTATATATAAAGTATTTATCATTAAAGAATAAAGTTGATTCATGCATTTTTTAAAAAGTTATAGCAACATAATGTTAAAAAATGTAAAATATAATATCAAGAATTTTTTCACAAAAATAGCATATTTTTGCATACGGTAGTCATTTTCACCATGAAGACAAGTCCAGAGGTCAAATTTTTTTTTTTCAAATTAAAGTATATTACATTAGCTTTAATTTAAGGTATATATAAAAGTGTCAGTCTTTCCGGAACATTTTCAAAAGTTAAGTTGAAAAAGTTAATTTTTTGTAAAAAAGCTACCATTTTGAAACCCTTCTTGTGGGCTGTTAAAGGGTCAAATATTCACAAAAATATATAAAATGATAGGTAAATGTTTAAGGTATCTATAAAAAAAAAAATTATATTGATTCACTGTGCCGCTACCCCCTGTGCTGGGTTTTTTTTTTATTAACTTTGATGTCTTTTTACCACGAAAACAAGTCTGAGGTCAAATTTTTTTTTCAAATTAAAGTATATTACATAAGCTTTAATTTAAGATATATATAAAAGTGTCAGACCTTCCGGAACACTTAGAAAAGTTATTTTGAAAAAGTTGTCTTTTTAAATCCCCCCCTTTGGGCAGATAAAGGGTCAAATTTACAAAAAAAATATATCAAATGATAGGTAAAGACATCAAGCATCTATAAAAAAAAATTATATTGATATGTTAAATTTTGAAAAAGTTACGGCACATTTTAGTAAAAAAAATTGAAAAAATTTCGAAAATTAGCGATTTTTAAATTTGTAATTTTTTTGGAGGTTTCCTCCATTTACAGGTAACGAGGGAAATTTTTTCAATTTTGAAGGGTAATGTCTTCGACTAGATACGATTTGTGATCTTTTGACGTATCGTTGAAAGAAATCCCTTCGGTGAGAGCTGAGAAAAAGTGGTAACAGACACACAAAAAAAAAAAAAAAAACACATCTTAGTAAAACCAATACCTTCTCAGCTTCGCATCGAAGCTAAAATATTGTTAACATATCTGCGTATCAGCTGTTTATTTTTATAAAGATAAATTTTTCATTTTTTTTTGTTATAACTTAATTTTAAGAGGGATTACGATTCTTGTTTCATAATTTTTAAAAGGAGCTATATCAAATATCATCCATACAAAAATAACTCATTCTAGGAATCCGTTTTTGAACAATTATTAAAATATGTAAATAAATACTTATCTGTGTATCAACTGTTTATTTTTATTAAGATAAATTTGTCATTTTTTTCTAAATTTTAATTTTATGTGGGATATTACCCATAATCATGGAGGGATTTCCAAAACAATACTCTTGAACGGATGTTTGGTCCGTTTCCAGAAAAAGAGTTGAAACAATGTATTTTTTACATGATAACTTAGCTTTCCCGAAATATTGACTACTAGGACGCACTTTCTCCCTGCCCTTCAGTACTATCACCGCAATGACTGGAGTTCAAAAATAATACAAATTGCTAATATTTTTTAGTTTTATTTGACGATATAATTTAATAGGCACATATTGTTTAGTATTTGAAGAAAAAAATATTTTGAATGACAAATGAAAATGATATTTAAAATTTTAAATTAAAACACATTTTTGATTTTTTTTATTTATCTAGTCTGGTAAAATAATATCTTGTTTTATTCTTTAAATATTTTAGACTATCAAATAATTTAGAAAACATTTATAACGTAATAATTTGTATTAAAATTCTAAATATATTTGTAGTTAAATTATTCTTCTCATTTCTTGTAATGCAATTTTAACTGGTATGGTATAGATTTGGTTATACATTATTGACACAAATGTTTTTCTGAATTCTAAAAAATATAAAAATATATCATTAATTATTTAAAAGTAACAAAAAGACAATTTTTTTTTAATACACGGAATAATTCAATCTGATTAATAAATAAAATTACTTTTTATTAACTATTTTTTTTTTCGATAATCGCTATAAGTCAAAGCAATTATTGAAATTTTTAAAAATATTTTGACCATTTTTTTTAAGTTACTTAATAAAAAATTTTATTCAGTGAAAATCTATTTTATATCAAGTAAAATTAGTAATCCTTATTACATATAATGGGAAAAAAGATCAAGTTGTAAAAGTGAAATTTAATGACGCTGGATAGATAGCTTATAGGAATCAATTGCAAATAGTTTCAATTGGTTGGATAAAAATTAATTCAGTAACTGGAATTGCTATTCACCATCATGGTGACTAATTAATTATTGATTATGAAATTAAGAAAACTTTTTGAAAGAGATCACATTGGCCTTGGTTGTAAAAATTTAAAAAAATTTACATAGTAATTATTTTACCTTCCATGCTGATATCTTGTTCGTTTGTAAATTTATAATCTGTTATTAATGTAGTAACTAGTTCTTCTGTGATATCGAGTTCTTTTACTACAAGAACTTTTTTTAATTCATTTAAAGTCATCTTCTTTTCTTCGTTGAGAGAATTATTATAACGCAACTTATACAGAGATTCAGTTATTTTGATACACTTCGTCGATTGTTTCAAAAATTTATTCAAATTCATTAATCCTTTTTCTTAATAAAGTAAAAACCATGTGTTATCAATTCTCTTTTAATTGGATTTAAAATTCATATACCAGTATTAATTTCAATTAAAATAATCAATGGTTGACATTTGAATATCACTATATATATTATTTATTACAGTATTATAAAAAATAATTTATACCAGATACAAATTTTATACTATTTGAAAACCTATAAATGTTTTTCATAAATAGCCCGAATGTGGTAGTTCATATAGATTTGCCCAAGTTGACTGCAAGTCACTGGCTTACACTCAAAATATATAAATATATTTTTATATATTTTTTAATATATATATACAGGGTGGCCCACCACTCACTGACAACTTAAATAACTTTTGATTCAGTTAATATTTTTAGCTGATTTTTTTTTTTAAATAATAGTTATACGTTAGGTCAATAGCTATATCTCAATAATTATTTTTTTTACATTTTATTAAAAATATT